CTAACAAGGTGCTATTAAAATTTTGTGCCTTATTTAATAAATCATTGATTTACACTTTTACTTGTTTCTTTTAACCAAGAACAGAAGACATACAGTTACCAAGTTTGTTCAAAACAGACCCCTTGGGTCAAAATTGGAGTCACACCCATTTATTTCAGTTATCGTGTTCATAGGGTCCAACAATAATAAAAATACCAAGGGGAATAACTATGTAAGTTATTGTCAAATTGTTCCGGTATTCAAACTCATCCAAGATCTCATTGATACAAAGCTACATACAAAGTTTCTTCAAAATCGGTTCATATTTACTGAAATAATTGTGTTCACAAGGAAAAATTAATTGACGATGCAGTAAGGTCACTTGGACCGACGAAAAGTATGAATTGTCCCCTGGACGACAGTCCTAATTTGAATCGGATGGCAGGTGACCGTTAAGGCCCATGGGCCTCTTGTCTTGTATTATACAAACATGCAGAAAAGCAGAGAGGTAGCAGACATACAGTTTAACAAAATTTCTCATCAATACAATTGCTAGGCACGAAAAGGCAATGCACTCATGCTACAAGTTAATATTTACATTCTGTATGCTTGGACCCATTGACGAAAATGACATTCATTTTTGCATAACACAGGTGACCTCATCACTGCGTATTGATACACTTTAATGACAAAGCACAGGGCGTAGTTGGTACACGTCCGCTGTGAACCAGCCCTCGTGTAGTTTAGTTATGCTAATATGATTAGCATTAAACAGAATAGGCTTCATTTTAATTCCCAAATGAGGTGTGTAAGGTACATGATAATAATATCCGACCTGGGTTAGTTCTACAAATAAAATTTGAAAATACAACTATATTCTGTTTGTTTTGTTGTCATGGCTGTTGGTAGGACCCCCACAGTAAGTTTTACATTTTCCCGCAAAAACACGCTGTTCTCTCTACTGCGTTGCCCCCATGCACAAATAGAATTACAATGCCGGTATTATTTTTATTTATGCTTGCATCGGAAGGTTCAAAGCACTTAAAAATGTAAATATAAGGAATGAAAATTATTTTATCAGCATTCATGAGGTCATAACAACATTGGCTTTCTGGACATATTTACCAAGAATTGCGTAATATGTCCAAAAAGCCAATGTTGTTATGGCCTCATGAATGTTGATAAAATAAATTTCATTCCTTAAGTGAAGTACCATGGGGTCTTCCCCACCTGTTGGGGGGAGGGGGGGAATAAGTCCTTTGGTCATACCTTAGAAATGGTAGAGATCCCTACCCTTTAACCATGCAGCAAATTGCTGGACATGAAGTGATTTATCCCCGAGGACTTGTATTAGTATCTGAACCAATTAATATAACTTAATTATAAACTGATGTTTTTGTTTTACTTATTGATGTTAATTCAGATGAGGAGGAGGAGGAGGAAGATTCTGAGGAGGAAAATGTGAGGGAAACAAGAAGTTCAAAGCAAAAGGACATCAAACGTAAACAACTGGAAGCAACAAAATCCAAGGCAAAAAAACAGAAGGTATCTTGACTCATTGTCCTTTGCGATTTCATGAAGTTAGTGCACAAGAGATCAAAGTCTTATCAAAATTGTTAGAATGAAGCCCCTTCAGCCAAGATATAGCCTATACAACTACCATACATATTGGCAAATGTCAAACTACATTTACTTGCTAGTTTGTTGCATATATATATATGCATAATTAATGAGTCTATCAAATTATAATTCAACATTTGGTTTCCATACAATAACTCCTCTGAAATGTGCAGATGAAGTTTAGTTTGTATCATTTAATGCCTGTGGTTTATTAAGCCAGCCCCTTCAATACATACATATATATTTCTAGTATGTCTATTTAAGAGTCTCGGCCATATTGAACAGTATTTCTACATCCTAATCTCTGTTTAATGTTACTAAAAATAGACCATTGGGATCAATATGGGTCCTATATCTTGGAATCCAAAAGACTATTTTTTTTTAAACTTGACCTGGAATATGGTGATATGCTAAAGGAATTTAAATGTTTCAAAGGTCAAGGTCTTTGTTACTAAAAGTGTTCTTTTATTATCTAGAGTGACCACAACGCCAGTACAATGTCTGTGGAGGCAGGGGAGATGGACACCGAGAATATTGACCAAAAACTCTCAAGACAGATGGCAGAGGAACGCAAACTGGCTGAAATGACTATCCCAAAGAAACGAAAAAGAATGTATGAAAGAATTAGAACAGCACAAAACAAAAAGAAACAAGAGGTAATTTTGACATATCATGAGTAACGGTGATGTTAATTTACTATATAGAAGATCATAACATACATTAGGGTCAAAAAAGAGAATAAGTAGGCATTGGGATAATTTATGCCAAAATAATTAAAGCTTACATGCGATGTCATACACTTTACTCATACAAAGGAATACAGGGAATGCTGTTGTACGGTAGCTATGCATCCTTGTTTCACTTTTTACACCCCAATTAATTCACATGAAGTCTGGGATGCAAAGTATTTACTTTGTCAATGCAAGTGTCCCTCCATCCCAATTTCCAGAGCATATCATTGCCACTGTTTCAAATGTATGGACATTTATTTAATACTTGGTCAAAGATGTGCGAGAGTCTTTGAGCCCCCTCGTCTCGATTTAGAAATGGCCCAGAAATTATGAAAAGTTCTTTTTATAAACCCAACAAGAGTTTCTATGTGACATTTCGATGACTATTACAGAATGTACACTGTCATCTTCTTCAGACAAATGACCAGTGACGCGTATGCACACAAAGGTGTAAAATGTGTACGAGTTGTCCACAAAATTGATGCAGCACATCTATGACTAAGTATTAAACAAAGCATAGCTGAATCGAGTCATTTCAGTACATATATAACAGCTATTGTACATACTCTTACAGCATAGCCGAATCAACATCAATTTTGTGGACAACTCGTGTCCGCTTGATATCTTTAGTAAATTTCAACAGATTAGTCGCAAAATCCATAGAAAGATGAACTATCATTAAAGTTAAGATAAGTTGGATAACTACAGTTATCTGACATATTTAAGTTATGGCCCTTATCCTATTGCCAAAATGTTGTCCACTCAATACACTGATAAGTTTGATTTGCATCATTATATATGGAGTTATGGCCCTTTATTATTGAATTAGAATTTGTACATTACTTCAGCTAAAGTTAATAAAGTACAGTATGTATTTTTCATTTAACCACAGGAATAGTGTTCTAAACTTTACATAGTAATATGGTACAAATGTTAGTTTTTCTCCTTACATTACCATATTTTCATGCTTTTTGAGCATGGGATGGGCTATATTGATCCGCCTAGCAGTAAGCCTGTTTGACTCTTGTCATCCTTTTCTTAACTTTGGACAGTGCTAGAGGTATAAACAGCATTCTTGTCAAAAATATGATAGAAAATTTATAGCTTTACTCAAAATATTTTATTATTTTACGTCATTCTTTAGATAAAGACACTAATTTTACAGTTTAACGCATTCACACCTGAAGACACATTTGAACTCTTCCAAATCAAAGGTTGGATTAGTTCATTATGAAACTGTAGGGGTGAATGAGATAAAACCCCTTGGATGAAACTGACCTTTATATCTTATATTTTCAGAAAAGGGTATTGATAGAAAAGCGTCGTTCAATAGACAAAGCCACGAAGAAAGGAAAGAAAGCGTGAACTGCCTTATCATCAGGATGCAGTTGTTCTGGGTTGAGATATACCTTTTCAGGTAAAATCTCTCCTGGACATATGGAACTTTTTAATAATGTTAAAGCTTGAAAGGTATTTCACATGATACTGTCAAGTTACAACAAGGAAGGTACAGCAAGTTGACGTGTGGAGCTCCTCGCAGCCTTTCATCAGCTGAGAACAAGACATATATACTACAGTGTAAATTATTTTATAAAAAGAAGAAATAAGTCTGTGGTTAAATTTCTTGGCGGATTTTGTGTCATCAATATTTGCTGCTTTAAGTACTACTGCGGATGTAACAGTAAATGGTGAAAGAAATAAAGATATGAACTTAAGTATGTTTTTCACTTTGTATGGACTTTGTGGTCGAGTACAAAAAGAAATATGTACCACATTCTCACTGATGAAAGCATAATCAGACTAATTACCTGGAGGTGGAGATTTGTGATATTTACCTCAGTGTTACTATTGGGTTGATCAAATTGTCCACGGTCTGCCATCCGTCGTCTATCCTTAAACAGGTTTTGTTATCACTATTTCTCCAGAAGTACCAGTCAGATCCTTCTCAATATTTCATTTAAGATTCCCCTTGGTCCATAGTTATGCATATTTGAGTCCGATCAGAATATGAGAAGGCGGACAGGCAGCCATCTTGGATTTCAACAGTTCATGTTTGTTATCCTAATTTCTCAAGGGTACTCTACAGATCTTTGTCATATATCATGTGAAAAAAATTCCCTTGGTCAGTTGTTATGCAGGTTCTTTTTGAGATTAATTAGGAAAACAAGGTGGTCGTGAAGCAGCCATCTTTGATTCTGACAGTTCAAGTTCGTTATCACTATTTCTCAAGAAAGACAAGATTTTTCTCCAATTTCATATGCAGGTTTTCCTTTGTCCTAAGTAAGGCAGTTTTTGTTTTGAAAAAGAACAGAAAAATGGCTGTCAGGTAGTCATTTTGGATTTTAACAGAGTAAGTATTCCCTCACTGTTTCTCAAGAAGTAAATAAGACCTTAATTTGAAAGAACAGTCGCTCAAACCGTTCTGTATAAATTTAAATCAAAAGTTATCACAAACTGCATTTACTGTTGACAAGACTATCAATCAAACGGATAATAAAATAGAAAATATCAAACTTGCATAAATTTAATGAAGATCCTGTATGATGGTACATGTAGGTGCCAAGATCCTTCTAGGATCACTTCTATGAGATGTGAATAATATTATAATTATATGATTCTCACCAAATCAAAAAAGGATTTTCGGGAACAAGTTACAGTCATTTGGCTCTGTTGTATGGATGGATTAAGCTATAATTGCCATGAAATTTATCACATCCCCGTTTAAAAGATGCTAATGTTCATATGATTATCACCACTAACCTCAAATTATGAAAAATTGAATGAAAACTTGGATGAGATAGTTACAAGGTCATACTTTATACCAGGAAACTGTCCCCTTGTCAATTATTCACCCTCCATTGGTAAAATCTATTTTCATCCTGTGTACATTTCAACTTTCACATGTAATTACTTTTTAGGGTGAACTGTGTACGTAAGTTTGTTGTCACAATAAATTTGTCTTTATTACAGAGGGCGAAAATCAAATTGCAGCAACAATTTCCTGGTATACATTATAAACAGATTGACATATGATAACACACTATTTCCTTCTTTTAGCATGATAATTATAGTATGACATCGTTTTGGCTGGCATTTAGATATAACTATGATTTCCATTTCTGATCCTATGAGTTTTGGCTGCATGTGTTATATTTGTAGACATGGACTTGGAAATCCATGTCAACAACAAGTATGATCAGGATGACGACTTACATACTCTCTTAGATATGTCGTCAATAAAATCCAGCTCTACATTTGATCTCATGACATGTTGATGAAGAGGCTGACATATACATGTACCTACCACTTTGTTATATTAGTTGATCACTTCAGATGAAGCTTGCGGGAACTCACCAAGGTGTATTCACAGATGTAATTTCTCCCGAACTAGAGAATTTGTTACAGCTATATTCAGACCTAAGCTAAGGTGTTGAGAATAATTCTACACCTTTTGGGTGTTTAGATCAAGTTTTGGTCATCATTGGGGGTTGCGTTTTGAAACTTGATCTAAACACCTTAGATTAGGTTCAAATCTATCTGTAACAAATTCTCAGGTCCCTGTGTGCCACCTTGTTCCTTTGATGTACAAAATAATCTCACGTTGCGAAACAGTAAAGATTGACTGGCTTTAAAGTCTGTTGTCTCTCCCCTGTAATCTTCAAAGGACAGGTATTAGTCTGGCGATTGGTCAGGGTTTTTTTTTACACCTGAGACCATTCAAACAGCTATCTTTGTGCTTTAAATTTTGCTATGACATATTTGAGGGGTGCAGAGGGCATATGTGTGTGTAACCCCTGGAGTATCGAGGGTGTTGTACCTCTGGTTCTCGGCATGTTGTTGACTAGCATTACAAGGTTTTTTTTGTGTGTGCCGGAGTTTGATACACTTCCAGCTATTCACTAAATGTGACCTTGTTTACTCAACCTACTAGGGGAAAAAATGGTTTGCTATGCCCCATAATAATAGTAGGGGTGAGGGGCATATAGCGCATTTGCCAAGTGGTAAAGGCTGTAAATATTGTACATTTTATCATACATTGTATCTTGACCATATGTAAGATGAGCTTCATTCTCAATATGTTATCAAGAATAAATTAAGCCATTATATTATTGTTAATATAATGGCTTAATTTATTCTTGATAACATAGTGAGAATGAAGCTCATCTTACATATGGTCAAGATACAATGTAAATACAATATACCACTAGCCCTCCACCACTGGGTAGCGGATTCGAGACCTTCATGAGGCAGCCTGGCCGTAGGTCGGTGGTTTTTCTCTGGAAACAATGGCTTCCCTCCATCACCAAAACCTGGCACGTCCTTAAATGACTATAGCTGTTAATAGGATGTAAAACAAAAACAAGTAGGCATATAGTGTATAGACAAATGTCTGTCCCACCCTGTTGCAAGTGATTGTCATGGCTCTACTGACTTAATTTTCTGAACAGATTTTCATCAAAGTTTATATAATTGTCATATATGAGAATAGATCTAGTAGCTCTGATTAAATAAAATAATAAAGGCTTCTTTTTACATCATATATAAATTAACATGATTAGTTTGGTTTGTTTGTGTGGTAAGTTCTATTACAGGTGTGGTCATTTACTGATGAGCCTGGTTTTGATGATGAATGATAACCAGATTACACAAGAGAAAAACCACCGACCTGCTGCTAATACCTTGCGACTGCCCCACGTGGTTGAGGGCTAGCAATCTTAGCTGGTCAGATTCTTAAACACTCAGTTAACCATGGTCACAGCCCATAACAATAGGAAAATGATTATAACAATAAATTGTAAACATTGAGGTTGATTACCTCTTCACAAGGTATTGGTAAACTTCAGTCATTTTAACACATCCCAGTAACTAAAGATGTTCACTGAAAACACCTTAAAAATTAAAATTCAATACATAAGAAGTAGTATCTTAATTGTATTGCAAAATATTAACAACTCAGCTGAGTTATATCTCGCCATAGCAATTTTACTTAAAATAATTTATCTTGGTATATGTCAATAGGGGCAAAAAGTATGTATGTGTTTTGAATGTTTATTCATGTATGCAATATATGAGTGTTCATATTCTTTACTTCTAACATGCATGTTTTGATCAAAGGGTAAGGAGTTGTCTCCCTTTAGCCATGTTAAGTCTGTTGAACAGAAAGAACCTGCCTCTTGACAGATTTTTTTTAAATTTTAAATCAACCGATAGATTGTTGTTGCTCACCTGTTATTAAATCATGTTGGTAAAATCATTTTCAACTCATCATGGTCTAGTCCATCTAATCCCAAACCATGTGGAGCCTAATAAACCATTCTTGTTGACACTATTTCTTAGAAAGTACTTGAGAGATCTTTCTCAAATTTCACATGAGGGTTCTCCTTGATCCCTAGTTATTCATAACAACTTTTGGGACTAATCAGAATACCAGGAAGCCTCCTGAGGATAAAGTTTGTTAGTGCTATTTTTCGGAAAATGCTGGAGGGATCTTTCTCAAAGTTCACATGAACATTCCCCATGGTCCCTAGTTACGCATACAGTACTAGTGTATATGTTGAATTATTGGATCGTGAAAAATATAGATTGTTAATGCAATTTCTAACATGTAACCTTAGATGTATCACTTTTGGCCCCGCCCCTCAGCCCAACCATGTGTACAATTCTGAATCCCAAACACATAGGGATGCTTTCAGTCAAATTTAGTTAAATTCCAATCAGTCAAATTTAGTTAAATTCCAATCAGTGGTTAAGAAGAAGTTGTATGAAAAAATTGTTAACGTACGAACAACGGACATCACGGTATGGCATGAGCTCACCTTGGTCTTCGGACCCGGTGAGCTAAAAATGATATGCAAACTAAGGACAATGGGGAACCTATATATGAAATTTGAGAGATATCCCTCCAATACTTTGAGAAATAGTGCTAACAAACTTTCATTCTCAAATTCAAGATGGCTGGCTGTCGGCCATTTTGGTTTTGAGATCAGTCCCAAAACACAATATGCATAACTAGGGATCATGAAGAAACTTCATGTGCGATTTGAGAAAGATCCCTTAGAAATGGCACTAACAGACTTTCATTCTCAAATTAAAGATGGCTGCCTCGTGGCCATTTTGGCTTTGGGATCAGTTCACAAAAAACAATTTGCATAACTAGGGATCATATGGAACCTTCATGATTTTTATTTAGAAAGATCACTAAAGCACTTTCTAAGACATAGCGCTAGCAAGAATTGTATAAGGACAGACGGACCACTTTAAAAACATGCACTTCACATCTTAACCTTACAAATTTATTCAAGTAAGTATATTCTACTAGTTCAATTTTCTGAAAATTTATACTCCAAAATATGAAAATGTTCCAATGATAATGGTGATTGAAGAGACTGACATATTTTTTTTTTATTTCAATTACAATTCAATTAATTAATTATGCCTGTAAAAGAAATTCCTATTTCCTGCCTGCCCAAATAGCTTAAATTTGTCAATGGTTTAAAAAAAAGATATTTCTAATGAGATAATAGCAATATGTTGTTACAGTTCCAAAATACTTAAACTTACATTTTAAGTGCTGAAACAGAACAAGAGGCCAGCAAAATATTATCATTAAATATTATATTGCACTAAAAATGTTTCCCTCGCAAACTTTGTTAGCTCCATCTGTTGAAACTACCAGCAATTTTTTTATATGGTTCTATGCTTTTTGATTCTTCTTCAGAAGTTGCTTAACATTTTTTTCCCTGTGACTTTGTAAGTAGGTCAATGTGATTTTCCTTCTCAAATTGGTTAGCTCTATTCCAAAATGCTACCAGCCAAATCTTATGAATCCGTTCCTTTTAGTTCTTGAGAACAAATCCTTTGAAATGTTGTAGACCTCTGTGACCTCTTAAAGTAGGTTGAGGTCATTTTCATTCGCAAACTTTGGTGAGCTCTATCCCAGGAAGTCACCAGCCAACTATTATAACTTTATGAATTTTAATTCTTCAGAAGTAGTTTGACATATTTGAACGCTGTGACCTTGAAAGTAAGTCAAGGTCATTTTCATTCGCAAACTTTGTTGGGCTCCTTCCCAGGTAATTACCAGCCAAATATTCAGGTTCTATCCTTTCCAGTTCTTCAGAAGAAGTCATTTTAAGTGTTTGACATATCTTCCTCATGTGACCTTAAAAGTAGGTCAAGGTAATTTTCATTCTCAAACTTTGTTGGGCTCTTTCCCAGAAAGCTACAAGCCAAATATTCAGAAGAAGTCGTTTTAATCATTAGACATATCAGACTCCTGTGACCTTGAAAGTAGGTCAAGGTCATTTTTGTTTTCAAACTTTGTCGGGCTCTATCCCAGAAAGCCACCAGCCAAATATAAAGATTCTATACCTTTCAGTTCTTCAGAAGAAGTCGTTTGAAGTGTTTGACACATTTAACCCCTGTGACCTTGAAAGAAGGTCAAGGTCATTTTCATCCTCAAACTTTGCCGGGCTCTCATCTCAGGAATCCATCAGTCAAATATGAAGAGTCTATACCTTTTAGTTCTTCAGAAGTTGTTTGAAGTGTTTGACACATTTGACCCCTGTGACCTTGAAAGTAGGTCAAGGTCATTTTCGTTCTCAAACTTTGTAGGGCTTCTACCAACAAAGCTTTCAGTCAAATATCATGACTCTAGGCCTGTCCGTTCTTCAAAAGAAGTTGTTTAAAGGAAAAGTTGACGGACGAGGACAGATGAACGACGGACGCCTTACCATGACATAAGCTCACTTGCCCTTCGGGCAGGCGAGCTAAAAATGAACCAATGCAAAAATACCCAAAAGTATCATTTTCCTAAATAAACTATAGTTAACTTTGCCCCCTCCCCAGGGGCAAACATGGAGTCTGGGGGTCATGAAATTCACAATTTTGATAAAGCACCTCGAGACCCTTCCAACTATGATAAGTATTGGTTTTCAGCCTATTTCAGTCTGGAGAAGATGACTGTTGAAATTCCTGGCTATATGATCCCATTTGGGCTCAGCCCCTGGGGATGAGACAGGATTCAAAATGTCAAAAGTATCAAACTGTCATCTCATGGTTATAATGTAAATCAAGTTTGAAAGATTTCCAGTAGAAAATGAACAAAATATACCCAAAAGATGAATTTTCCTATATAAACTTTAGTAATTTCACCCCCTCCCCAGGGGCAAACGTGAAGGTTGAGGGTCATGAAATTTGCATTTTTGATAAAGTACCTCAAGACCCTTCCACCTATGAAAAGTATTGGTATCCAGTATATCTGGGTCTGGAGAATAAGATTTTAAAAATTTAAGCCAATTTGACCACTTTTAGCCCCGCCCCTGGGGGTGCACGTGGGAACCAGATAATTCACAATTTTGGTGCATATTTGAACAAGGAATTGAAGGTTCCTGCAAAATTTGATTGAAATAGGATCATCAGTTCCTGAGAAAAAGTCGAAAATGAAAATTGTTTACGGACGCACGACGACGGACAAAAGGCAATTAGAATATATAGGTCACTTGAGACTTAATTAGTCTCAGGTGACCTAAAAAAAACATTGTTACCATGCCCCTTGTCAGTCTTTATTTTTTATTACCTGTAGTAATCCGTTCATTGTACCATAATTTCAAGTTATAATCAACAAGTGGAATTTTCGGTTACATATTTTTATTCATACAAAATGTGTTCACGTGTTCTTCCAGGAAGCAGCCAAAATTAACAATTAACACAGAACTTTCAGGGATGTACAATTCTGATTGAGAGATACCTAGGGCTGATGAATTTATAGTTTAAAGTAACTTGATATTATAACCATCACTGGCCAGTGAAAAATATTTCGTTTTTAGTTTTTTCTGATCACTGTTAAAGTGTAGGAACTGTTCACTTTTGCCAACACATGACTCGCGCTGAAGAACTAGGGATGAAAGTCAGATTTCCTGCCTCTGTGATATGTTATTTTTCAAACAAAGCCGACATCGACCATAACTATAAGTCTGTAAGCAAGCATTAAGGGCAAATGATAATTGGTCAAAAGGGTTTGTTGAATTTGATGCCAACGGCCCTGCCCCTGGCTACCTAACAATATTCATCAACATTTTTCTGAAGCACTTTTAACTCATTTCAAATTCAAAGGTTGGAACAGTTCATTATGAAATTTTCAGGAGTGAATGAGTTTTAAAGGTTCTTATATTCATATATAAATATTTGTGAATGGTGTATTCTATCACAATTTGAATATACATGCATGGATGAAACATCACTGGCCTAGAGGAGTAGTTAACTGTAATGAACTGGCCCACTGAAAAAAAAAGTTGACCACTGTCAAAATTCCAGAATTGTACAATCCTGCTATATATTTTAGCTACGATAGGTCTTTATTCATAGTGTTTTTACTGGTTTTTGCGAAGAGTTCAATTCACAATGCTGAAATAATCCTCCGGTACTTTTCGACTCCATTCATATGCTTGTCCCTAATATAGTGTATACGTAGTATGAATAACTTTTCTTTATGGTTGTGACTACAATTTTGGCTCAAAATTGTATACATTACAATTTGAATGTAGACAGCAGTGATAAATACATCACAATGATTATCAGGTTAACCTTCAGCTTTATGAAAATCTTTGTTTACAATATGATGTATAACAGCCAAAAGCATCATTCCAGTCCGTATGGATGCATAAAATACATCCCCAGTGTTGACATGAGGTTTTGGTCCTCTCAATGCAGACACTGTTGCTGTTGCTGTTCCCCTTCGTGATGACCGCCGTGATGATCGTCATGATCAACGTATTCATCTTGTTCAGGACAATACGGATGTAATGCCTTCTGTTTTTCACAATGCCCTTTGTCCAGAGAGATCCTTAGTTTCGAGCAGATACAATCTTCATCCAGGTCGTCCTTATCGTGTATCTGCAAAACATCGTTGACTTTGAGTTTTGATTTTACAGCAGACAGAGTGGAAGCATGGATCATCTTATGCTTCAGTTTTGAACAAGAAGGTGCCCTGAAAGACAACAAAACAATATTTAAAGTAAATACCATTTTAAAGTTACTGGCTTATAACTAATAGGTTTGGAACTGTACATGTTCCTTTCCCATTCAATTCTTATTTCCCATTCAATTCTTAATCAAGTAGGACTTGTTAGTTATAAAAAGGCACTTATCATACCATATCAATGAAGACATATTGCAAAACCTAGTCGGGGGTGTATAACATTTTCCTGTGCCCGCATTCATGAAACCGATCACATGCTCAAGCATGTATTTTGTGCTCCTGCATTATTTCTTCTAACAATAAGGCAATTGTAAATTAAAAATTAAAAATTATTTTAAAGACACTTAAAGCTGAATATTCTTTTCAGTGTTAACATTCAACTTATGGATGATCATTTGACATGATTTAAGTGAGTTACAAGAAACCTGATTTGAGCACAGAATCCATGATGGAGCATGAGAATGGTTTGTACCAGCACAGGTCTATAGACACTAATAACCTTAAATCTACTTGAATTGCCCAAAATACAAGAAATGGTTTCCATATGAGTTGATATTAACTTGAGATTTTGGCTCATCAATTTTTGAGCATGACCTATAATTTCTTTATAGTCGTACTTGTAACTGTACATGGATTGAGTTCGAGAAAAAGGGGCCGATTTCTCAACAAATCAATAATAGCATAGTATAATAAGTGCTGGTGCCCATAAACCTGGAAATTGTTGAATAAACTGAAAATTTAGTAAAATGAAAAGAACAACAATTTTCTGAACATTATTTACTAACAATATTTAGTCTTTACTTAAACCTGGACACTTAGTGGACAATCACTTTGACAATCTCTTCGTTTACAGAAATATTAATCACAACAACATTAAATAGTCAATCCTTTCGTTGTCAATGAATGACGCAATTATGCTTACACACCCAATTTTGGTGCTTGTCCATTTATATAGCACATAGCAGGGAATTTGAAGTACAGTTCATTTTTTAGTACCATGGCTAGTTCAAAATTTTGGAATTTGTATGTATACATAAATTGGTAAATTTATATTCAATCATTATCGGAAACGATGCAAATGTCTGTTTTCATTCAAAACTGTGGAAGATATGATGTTTACACATTTACTTTTGTTATTGTGAGTTGCATATATATATATACCTGTAACCGATGAGGGGAAAATGTTTTGTTAAAAACCTTACTTTTCTTCTTAATTATATATATTTACTTAATTTTATTATATCAAGAGACAGTACAGTAAGTAGCAACATTAATCGCTATCAATGCGATTCATGGAACTACAGGAGTTTCCTTGTTCTGCATCATTGAGAGGCACTGCAGATACTGATGACCTACTAAAGTGCCAAATAAATCATATCACTATGAAGGTGACTTTATATATAATTAGATGATATATTCTAGATATCAATTTTATGGAAAAGGAGTGTCCTTTTCACTTTTACCATTTAAAAAAATAAAAATAAATAACAGGTCAATAATATAATAATAGTCACAAAATCCCTCAACATAATGGACGAGTAACATAGGCTGAACGAATTGTCACCATCTCATTTCCACTTTTCAGGATTAATGTTTTTACAAAGGCCCGATATTTATGTCAACTGAGCACAAACCCAACAACATAGACAAGATTGCAAACAAGTTGTCAATAACCCCCACTGCTCGACAATAGACTCAGTTCATAGAAACATGCAGGAAATTATTATCATAACCTGCTTATGCGACCCTCATCAGCCTTCCCTAAATATATGATGTAAAAGCATACCAGCTGTAATGATCACAGATGAAATCAAACGGAGGCAATGCTCCAGACAAACGGTATCTAACACTATGTCGAACTTTTAACAAAGGTCAAAGATTCAAATGTATACATAGGTCACTGTGATTAATTAAAAAAAATGCACATGACACTCTATCTTCCTTAAATTAGATGAACATGTACCAGCATACCAATTTGGATGATTGCAGGTGATCAGAACATAAGCAAGTCTAAACCAATGGAATTTCAAGAACCAGGCTTTGTCTGCAAAAATATCCTGTGAAGAAATGTCCGACAAAACAATTACTATTTTCACAAGTTTAACTGGTCATAGTATCCATCATTCTTGACACATGAAAACAAATAGCAAACTGCTCGCATATTCCTCTATTTCTTCCTGTTACAGTACATTACGTCTAACAGGAAACCTCGATTGAATTGTGATGTTATATGGGATTTTTTTGACCGTTTTCTTCTTAATGTAAAACCACTGACAGGATTATGAATGCGAAGGAGAGCTCCAAAAATGGCTGCTTTTCGTCGTTGGAGTTACTTGCCCCCCGGTCATTTTTTCGGTTAGAGTGACTGCCCTTAGCATACCTCATCCTTATTTGCGATAGAGATCAATAAAAGACTACGTTACCGTAAAACGACATCATGGCTGACAAGGGGCCGCCTCAAAGGCGCAGAAAGAATTGCCAATTTGTAAATGAAACAGAAGGTATGTCAAGTTAGAAAAGGGAGAAGTAACTATCAGTTATATATCAATGTTGTTGGTTTGCATATTTTCGGGAGGTTTATACACGTAATATCTTCAAATGTCACCGATAACGCACTAAGTCGTTACCTATGTTTACATTTGTTCACGTTAGAATATTGATACAGAGTACGGGTTCGACATAATGGCCCCGTCATAATAACATGTACGCGAGAAATTATCTCTTGTGAAATTACGAATTACAATTTCTGACGTAGGTAATACCTGGTGTCGACCGAAAACAAACGAAAACAACAGTAACACAGATGTCAACAACAACGAAAACGACATCACAGATGTCAACAACAACGAAAATGACAGCACAGATGTCAACAACAACAACATAGTCGATGAAGCAGACGTGCGTGTTGCACTAGCCACCCGCACTGTGCATGAAGTTTACAAAGAGGAAGAAGACTGGGAGAAAAACCTGATGAAGTGGAATGAAAGAAGGAGAGTGGTTGAGCTCAGTGTTCTGAGCGAATTCCTTGAGAAAGGATGCCATGCATGTGGTTGGATGCTGAAGTTGTCCCAACACATTTCAGGAACGGCATTATGGCCTCAGGAGTCTGCTCTACATAAAGGTGTGTACTCTGAATATATATTTTTAAATAATAATAATAATTGGAGGTTCTTATATACCACTTTATCACAACCTAGTTCGTAGGTCGTCTCAAAGTGGTTCACAAATTATTATCCGTGGTTATATGGCCTTTGCAACCAGCCAATACATTTCTCAACTCCCTGGGGAGTAACAGCCGGAGCTGCCATTTTGGCGCTAACAGCTAGCATTCAACAATTCTAGCAATGCCCAACCACGTACTCATTTACAGCTGAGTAGACTGGAACAAGCGGAGTAAAGAATCTTGCTCAAAGATACAACACATTGCCGTGCCGTGGCACGAACCCTTCAGTCACGAGTCCGGCGTCCTACCACGAGACTACCATGTCTCCTTATGCCAAATTATGTTTGTGCAATATTATTGAATGAGACCGATGACTGTAAAGCTTGGATTTTGTGTAGATCATACGGTCTTCATAATGATATTTGTCCTCATCAACATAACAAATGAAAACATCACATAGTTTGGTGAATTATCCACTAGTTGATCAAGTAAAAAGTTCATAATCTAGCGTATTGTGTTACATCATAATTCATGACAGCTGAACAATGAAAATGTATTTATCATCACAACAATAACCGCTCCCTGAAGGACGCGTGTGCAGACATTTTATTTTAAACAACTAATAGCTTTTAGGTGAACCTTGAAATGAATGGGGAACAACAAGGGATTTCTTGCATATTTTTGGATACAGCGCCGAAAAAACACTCAAAATATGGTGAGAATTGGTCGCCAGCCAGTAGTACTAATATTAATACCCGGCCTCCTCTGCCCCGGCCGGGTATTAAATCGATCCCATGCCTTGTAATGGAGCAAGCCCGGTGTGAATCACATCAGGGCGATTTTAGAATAAATTGACAGCACATTGGTCTGCATCTATAAATAAGGTTGTAGTATTAACTACTTCTGTTGATATCCTGCACAACTTGAAGTTAAACTCTGCTGAAAATGTCGTTAAATTATCAAGTTAACGTAGCAAGCGTAATCGAAATCTGAATTGACCGCCATGTTGGAAAGTTAGTCTCTCTTCCGATATAGGTCTGACATCCAAATATGGGTGTCATGACCCAATATGGAAATTGTAGTAAACATGGCGGCATCAGTAGTAATACTATATTTGGCCGAGCAGGCCATATATAGAAAGGATAATTGAGATAACATCACGCGTGATCTGTCATGGCAGTCGTTTCTTTTTTTCCCCCCAACAATTATGCAATATTTTGATAACATTATACTCATATGAGGCGTGAATAATATGCAATCTTACAGATTAACACTTTTGATTTTGCTCCATTAGTTGGCATAGGACCGCTTCGTAGCTCTGACAACGCAATATATAAAAAAAAAATGTCTCGTCGTCAGAAAGCTACGTTATCGCAGCTAGCCAGCCAGTAATAGCGATTTTTAGGAAAAGGTGACGGAAGGCGGACCTTCGGACCAGGTGAGCTATTTTGGTCTATATCTTACCTTCATAAAAAAAAAGGATAAAAGAATGTGTATCAAAATTCTTAATAGCAACAATGAAGTCATCAGAAATATCGTTTTTTACACAAATTCAGCTGCTTTGTTCACATTTGACCTCTCCATGTTTCAAAGTTCTTACAATTTTACATAGAATGGCCACTCTAAATTTTCTTATTGACAAAAATATGCTGAAGGCCCACTGGCATTGCTCTCAATGTCCGGAATTTCCCTTAGTCTCAAGTGCACAACTGTGGTCTAATTTATATATAACTGTCACCTAATTACACGGTCATATTTGACTATAGAATAGTCAAATTGCCAGAGTTACCGGTGCTTCGATGCCTGCCTGTATTAGGCCCTCGTTGACTCGTTTCAATACGCATTTCTTTGTCCTTTCTAATAGTCAATGTTGTGCTGACAAATGTAACCCTAGCATATAATGGTATACGCGATATCGAGGGTCTTCCAGTAACATACAGATACAGAAAGTAGACTTAAGCCACAATTTGGAGGCACTTTTAATACTGACCTAGACGTTAGCTAGGAACAACTGTCACAATAGTCTCGCATCTAACAAACTGTCGTACGTTATTTCAGAAATATTTCTCCCGACCTACTTCTACTTAAAGAGTTAGATAGGTGCCCATCACTATTCCGGAAGTTCAGACTATGCCGGGTCGTGGAAAGTTTTTCGTTATAGCACACATACACTGTACAATACAGATAAAACAACTAACATTTTAAGTTAACAGATAAACCTACCATGATACGAAAACAACCTTTTCCACCACCTTTCCTTCTGAATCCACGCGACCGGCGTATTCAAACGCGCCATACCGGCACTCATCGTCTGGAAGGTTCCTCACGAAAGCTTCATAACAGTCATATTTGTTTTGCCCCGACTTACTGACGACTTCCTTATCTACGACAACCTCTGTAAGTTCTTTGTTGAGCTTGAACAGAACGAACTTTACACTATGTGCACTCTTTAGTCTGTCAAATGCTTTGGAACAGGAGTCAGCGACTTTCACTCCGGACGCCATTTTGGAAATGTGAGGTGTGCCTGTGCAGCTTCCGCGTCACGTGTTTTATAGTTCGAAGTTCAATTTCCATATTTGTACATTTTGCAAGGCGGCGCGTGACTCACGCTGGAGCTGACGAATACGACAGCGGGAGTAATGCAACCACAGTTGCGTATTGTTTAACAATAAGAATAACTTAAAAAATGTAGAACTTTATCAGTAATTAATTCAAATTGGGTCCAGTTTCGGTACATTACTAATTATGACCGGTTATAATTGCACGCATGATATTGTTGTCCCTTTATATAGTAGCGAATGAAAACACCGTTTACTTTACGGCAAAACAACTTTACTTATTCTATATTTTCATTCATATTTGTAGATCTACCATAACCATAAAAAGTTAATCTTATTAAATCTTATTAATTGATTGCCATGAAACCAGAGACGTACAATTAATACGTGTAATACCACAATCACGTGACTGTCACGTGGTCTGGTGGGCTTCGGGAATGTATGCGAACCATTTTATTGTCATTTCTTTAAGGTAAACAATTCATTAATATTAATTAAGCTAATACAAATATAGAATGTAAAATGATATAAAGATGTTATTTACAAATATCTAAATTAATTGCATTTTTTTGGTATTAATATATATCGAAACGTACTGGAAAGGGTCGAATCGTCGACGACCGGGTAGACTTCGGAGTCCCGGGTTTGAACCTCGGTCTGACCCAGAGACCTAGGCCTATCTGTCTGGAGTAGGGGTGGGGGTGGGGTCCAAAATNGGGGGGGGCATGTGGGGGAAAATTGAGAAAAATGGTGAAAATACATGATTTTAAAGAAAATTCTCAGAGGGGGGGGGGGTCCTGAAGCCTAAAAAAACTCTGGATCCGCCACTATTTCTCTTTCTCCTGTTACAAAAGTGGCGATCTTGCCAACCCATGTTTTAAGCTTTGGGTGTACGCTTATATACAATAACGGTACTAAATAGTTGTGTCTTCGGGGGCGAAAGGAGGGAGGAATACAAGTCCCAGTAGCGGAACTGGACTGGGTTGATCGTCGGCGACCAGATAGCTCAATTGCTAGAGCGTCCATCTACAGTTCGAAGGGTCCGGGGCTGGGTCTGATATCCGGTCTTGCCGTTACATTTCTCTTTCTCCTGTTGCATATAACAATATGTACTAAAGTACACGGGCGCTATAATTAGATATAGCGTCGTTTAATAAAGGCCACCTCTTTGAATAAAGGCCACCACGTTGAATAAAGGCAACCACGTTGAATGAAGGCCACCACGTTGAATGAAGGCCACCACGTTGAATAAAGGCAACCACGTTGAATAAAGGCCACTACGTTGAATAAAGGCCACCACGTTGAATGAAGGTCACCAGCAGCAATAAAAAAGCACAAAATATAGACTATGTTTAAATATGACGGAAATTGGATTTCTATCAAAGATATTGCATGTGCAAATAGGAACATCGATTCATTTATCGCAGGAAACAAGTTAGTAACTCCAAGTTAATTCTCTAAGGTTTCTCATAATACATTGGTCGATCATTTGTGATTTCATTTATGCTTTAAGCGTCCGACCAACAACCGCCTCTTTGCGGTAGCGCAGATATGATGCCTAATTCAAGTCAAGTCAAGTAAATTTTATTTAAAAGTCGGTCCGTGGTTAAACAAGGCAACACAAGGCTTTTACAACCGGCTATACACGTATAACAAATAAAAACGGAGATAGCTTTAGATAAAACATAACAAGCATGCAAATCTATGACATTGTTAAAACAGAAACATTGTTAAACGTATAAAAGATAGATAGTGTGGAATTACTTTTGGCACATACATTTGGAAAAAAATATATATTTAAGCAAACAGTCAAAACAAGGTGGCTACAGTGCCCCATTCTTGATAACCATGGCTATTTATAAATTCCTAGATAACTTAAAACATTCTGGAAAAAAACCCACACTTATCACACAATGCCTTCAACAAATTACATAATTACAAAACACATAAATCAATACATTCATAAACAAACAAACCAAATTTGAATTGAAATTAAAAGAAATAAAACAATGTATTGTAAGCAGTACAAACAGTACATAAAGTTATATACACATACAAATCTTGCAAGCATAATGACTGACTAAAAGCATTGACGCAGAATAGATAAAACGGCAGAGGCAGCAAAGGGAGGAAACTCATCTGCACATCGCACAGTGTAAACTTTCACCATTTCAAGTTTTTATTATTTTCCTATCGTCATTAAAAGATGTAAAGATGTAGATAATCTGACATGCTCTGACAGTGAGTTCCATGTAATGTAGAGGCAGCTAAAAAGCTAAAACTATTTGTTACATACTTAACTGTTCTGCTTCAAGGGACTTGTAAAATGTTACTGTACCTGAAATTATAAGATGACGTTTTAACACGAATAAAATTCTGTAAATAAAAGGGGCTTTGTCCATTTAAAATATTAAAAGTTTCTATAAGTACTTGTTTGAGTCTACTTAATTGTATATACAAGTGTTACCTTTTACTAAAAGATCTTCGTAGTTGGAATTAAAATCTTGATAGACAAATTTAAGGGCTTTATAGTGTACACCCCTGACCCCCTATGGTGTGTGCATAGGACAGAGTATTGTCGTCTGCATAGTTAAAATGCATTTTTTATAAAAAAAGAAAATGTCATTTATAAAAATTATCAAAAACGATCGGCCCTAGTTTTGAGCCTTGTTGTACACCTTTCACAATATCTAGCACTGGACTTGTAGTACCGCCTATTTGTACACACTGCTTTCTGTTGGAGAGATAGCTCCTGATAAGCTCCATAGCGGCATTTCCCAGCCCAAACGATACCAGCTTCTCCAATAGGAGGAGTTCAGACGGTAGACAGTCGAATGCTTTGGACAAATCCATCAGAACGGTAGCAACATATTTGTCAAGGCCATTCGCCACTCCTCAGCGAGTGCTATCAGCGCTGACTGACAGCTGTATCCACGTCTGAAAGCTGAGAGGAAGGGATGGAAGATGCCGCTGAAGTAGCCCTAGAGTTGCTCAACCATAGACTTTTCAAAATATTGGAAATACTGGGTAATATGCTCACTGTTCTATAGGTGGTTTTTTTTTTTACTTAAATGGCTCTCCTTTTTAAAAATAGGGGTAACCCTAGCGAGCTGAAGTTGGTCTGGAACATAGCATTTAGAAAAGACCATGTTAACCAAGTTGCCATAACATTACTGGTGAGATGAAGAACCTTAGGAGATATACAATCTTAACCTGTAGCCTTTTTTGGTCCGATTTTCTTAATATATTGTAGTACCTTTTCTTCACTTACCTCTTTTAAGATAAAATTGCATTCGGACAGATCAGTGTTTTCTTTTATTGCTAAAACACTAGGGTGATCTGCTCCTAAAGGACAATTTGTATTTACACCTATATCGTCAAAAAAACATCGTTAAAAATATTACAGACATCCGATGGATGTGTAACAAGTCCGCCTTTTTCCTGTAAGTGTACATGGAACGAATAGTGGGCCAAAAGTCAGTCGACTTTGTTCCCCCACCACACTGTTCAGCAAAATATAATTTGATGGCTTGTCTTTTTCGCTTTGTTACATAATTTCTTTGTTTCCTGAACAGGTTCCAATTTTTGTCTGATTTAAAAAGATTAAATTTACGAAATAAGCGTTTCTTGTGATTTATTGCTTTCCGTGGTTTATTGTTCTATTCAGGCAGGGCTTTCCCGAACAATTCAAGTGGTCAAACTGGACATTTGGAACGGACTATGAATATGGGGATAGCGAGGTTACATAAGTGGAAATGCATACAATACATACATTCATTAAAAAAAATATGGCTTTTCGCGTGATGTCCCTTTAAAAGGAGCTTGGGTTTTCCTCTGATATTTTGTTTGATTGGAATATGCTGATCAATAACTTCAACAAAGGGTTTATCATAAGCTTAATAAACATCTTTTGGGTCTTCAAAAATGTGAAATGATACATGTTCAAGACTACACTCAATTTATCAACAACAAGTTCTTTGAAATATCTGTATGTAATTATTTTGCGAGTAGGGCATTGCGCTCTTTGATTACAGTCAGAACCATATGATGACAATCACTTAGCCCAGTATCTACAACATTGGTACAGAAAAATAGATTTGGTCTGTTGGTAAGTATCACATCGACTAATGATGGTATACCGTTTTTCATACAACCGGTAGCAATTTTTATAAGGTTTAGAATTCAGAATGCGATCTCATTAAAACCCCATTCTGAAGGCGACCAGCACGTTTATTTCCCGATGTGATGATCATCACTCTGACGTCAACTTTTCCCAACATGTCCATGGATCGATAAAGGACTACCAAGTTTGTTCAAATGTGATCGAGACCTACTTTCAAGGTCACAGAATCACATATTTATTATTTTCAAATGACCTTTAAATTCTCAATAACAAAAAGCCCAGGATGATAATGTCCGACAATCCGCGTGCTGGGAAATGTCCGACAATCCGCGTGGTGGTAAATGTCCGACAATCCGCGTGCTGGGAAATGTCCGACAATCCGCGTGCTGGGAAATGTCCGACAATCCGCGTGCTGGGAAATTTCTGACAATCCGAGTGCTGGGAAATGTCCGACAATCCGAGTGCTGGGAAATTTCTGACAATCCGCGTGCTGGGATGAATATTTACCAATTTCGAATCGCATATATGACTTTGACCAATTTGTAATCACATAAGTCAAATGTTAAAAAAATTCGTTAAAGCAATTTGTGATAAATAGCCAAAAGGCTAATGGTACGTGGTGATATTAGGCCAGCAGCATGCTAGAATAAAGGACTATTAAGTGTGTTTAAATGAAAGACCTTGGCCCAATTTTTAACGACACAAGGTTTATGTCAACATATTTAAACGATTTCTTCTGAATAACTAAAAGGCCCATTATGATGATATTTGGGTATTAATGATGGAAAAAAAGACTACCATTTGTTTTTACTGACTGACACTTTCAAGATCACAGGTTTCAAATGTGTTACAATTTTTCAACGACATCTCTGAATGAACATTAGTCACAGAAA